GAGAGAGAGAAAGCAAGAGGAATTTAAATGGCTGTATTGTTCAAACTGTACGGCAACTACTCAGTCAGGGCGAACAAATTGTTATCAGCTATTGATGTAGAAAGTGGAACAGTGTTACCGAATTTTTTCTGAACAATCATATTCCTATAAAGATAATAAATAGCGTTATATATATACATAATTGAGTATTAAACAGGGAGTGACAGTGAATACCTTAAGGCTCGTTTATTCATTTGTCGTTTAATCATTTAAATGAGATGATAATGACTTATTATGATTTTAATGATGGCACATGATGATGTGATGACACTGATAATAATAACAATAACAACAATATTGTTATTGTTATTATCATTATTATCATTATTAACCATTATTATTATTTATCATCATTAATAATAATATTAATAAAAATAATGGTAAAAATGAAAATAATAAGAATAAGAATAACAACAATAACCAAAATAATAACAATGTCGATAATAGTAATAACACCAATAAACAACAAACAAACAAAAAGGGACAGAAACAGAAGAAGAAGCAAAACACAAACAAACGTTAACTGATGAATAGACATATGGAGAGATAATTAACAGATGACTCGCCATCCATCTCTTTGTAATAAACAGGAACAGATAAATGAGTAGACAGGATGGATGATCAATAAGCCATGACTTTATTTGTTATTGTTGTTGTCTTAACGTTGTATCGTATTGTTGCTTGTTTTTATTATCGTTATTATTATTGTTATTATTATTATTATGTCATGTGATTGAGATATTTGTATTCGTTATTGCTGTTTTTTTTTTTTAATATTTAGTATCGTTTGTAATTTTGTATATTATTGATACTTGTAATTGTAGCGAATTGATCTGTGATAATTATACTAGGTCTGTATCCCCTCCGCCGCGATAAGCATGACGGATTACATCGTTACTACATATATTTGCTATAATAGAGACGATAATAATGTAATGGAACGTCACCAACAGAGATAAAAGAACGAAACACGTGATTAAAAGAATATATGCATCTTATTTGCGTATAACATACATTAGCAAGAACATCGGAAACATTACCTAAGAGATGTACGATTTCCAGAAATGTTAATAACGTATGGTTGGAAATCCTATGCTATACAACTTAATGTTCGCTCCTAATGACCTGCTGGAGGAGTATTAAGGGGGGGAGAAGGAGAAGGAGAAGGAGGGGGGGGGGGGTAAGAGGATTGAGGGATGAGGGGGGAGGGGGCGTAAGGACCATAAGCCCTTTATTGGTACGAAAGGTGAGAGAGGAGAAAGAGAGAAAAAGAGAGGGAGAGAGAGAAAGAGAACGGGGGAAGAGACAGAGAAAGAGAGAGAGAGAGAGAGAGAGAGAGAGAGAGAGAGAGAGAGAGAGAGAGAGAGAGAGAGAGAGAGAGAGAGAGAGAGAGAGAGAGAGACAGAGACAGAGAGAACAGATAATTGAAAGAGAGTACGGTAGGAGAAGTGAAAGAAAAAGAGCGTAAATAAAAGATATCAATAGAATGGGAGTAGATACAAGAAAATAGATAGACAAGAGGAGAAAAAAGGAGAGAGAGACAAGGAGAAAGAAACAGAGAGTGAAAGGGAATGAGAGAGAGAGAACGAGAGAGAGTGAATGAGAGAGAGAAAGGGGATAAGAGAAAGAACGAGAGAGATGGGGGGAAGAAGGGAAAATTAAAAAGAAAGCGAAGATCAGAAAGTGAAATAGAAAAAAATAAATAAACCGTTGTCTTTCTTCATGTTTACTGCCTTACTTCAATCTTACTTCATAAAAAAATATTTTAAAGAAAATATTAAAACCGACATTATATCAATTGTTATGTTAATTATTAAATGTTTTAATCAATTTTTATGTTAATTGTTAATGTTCTCACACTAACTCTCTCTCATTTCGTTCCCTACTCAATGACTCTCTCTGTCTCTCTCTCTCTCTCTCTCTCTCTCTCTCTCTCTCTCTCTCTCTCTCTTTCCTTCCCCTGTTATATACTTTATCACTTACTCACTCCACCCCTTTTCTTTCTCTCTCTTCCTTTCCCTTCATTCTTCCTATCTCTTTCTCTCTCTTTCCCTCTCTCTCACTCTCCTTTCCCTCTCTCCATCTTTTCATCCCTCCCTCCCATCCCTCCCATCCCTCTTTCCTTCCCCTCTTTTATCCCCCCATTTCTTAAACCCCTCTTTTCTCTCTCCCCCCACAGTGGATTTCCTTCT